ACGAGGGGTACTTGGGGTTTAATGCGTCCCGCGTTAGGTTTCATACCACGAGCCGGAGAGGATCACGTGGGGTACATGGGGTTTTATGCGTACCGCGTTAGGTTTCATATCAGAGCCGGAGATGATCACGAGGGGTACATGGGGTTTAATGCGTCCCGCGTTAGGTTTCATACCACGAGCCGGAGAGGATCACGAGGAGTACTTGGGGTTTAATGCATCCCGCGTTAGGTTTCATACCACGAGCCGGAGAGGATCACAAGGGGTACATGGGGTTTAATGCGTCCCGCGATAGGTTTCATACCACGAGCCGGAGAGGATCAAGAGGAGTACTTGGGGTTTAATGCGTCCCGCGTTTGGTTTCATACCACGAGCCGGAGAGGATCACGAGGGGTACATGGGGTTTAATGCGTCCAGCGTTAGGTTTCATACCACGAGCCGGAGAGGATCACGAGGAGTACTTGGGGTTTAATGCGTCCCGCGTTAGGTTTCATACCACGAGCCGGAGAGGATCACGAGGAGTACTTGGGGTTTAATGCGTCCCGCGTTAGGTTTCATACCACGAGCCGGAGAGGATCACGAGGGGTACTTGGGGTTTAATGCGTCCCGCATTAGGTTTCATACCATGAGCCTGAGAGGATCACGAGGGGTACTTGGGGTTTAATGCGTCCCGCGTTAGGTTTCATACCACGAGCCGGAGAGATCACGAGGGGTACATGAGGTTTTATGCGTACCGCGTTAGGTTTTATACCACTCGCCTCCAGCTCATGGTATGGAACCTAACGCGGGATGCGTAAAACCCCATGTACCCCTCGTGATCCTCCAACAACTCATAATATTCACCCAGCGGCGACAGTGGTCAAGCCTCCGAGATGGACTAAGCAGGGAATCAGGGAATATGAGCGATCCTCACATGAAAGCTGGCTCCGATGTGATGAAATGCGTGAGAGATACATAAATACGCTATTTTCCCCTTATATACAACCTACCCAGCCACTGGAAAGTCCTGCAAGACAGGTCGCTATCAGTTAAAATAGGGAACAATCGATCTGATCCTATGGCACTGGACAATGGCACGCCACAACGCAGCATTATAAGCCCAACCCTGTTTAATATCATGATCAACGATCTTTTTCACCATGTCGACTCTCCTACCCAAACTTCTAAATTCGCTGATGACAGAGCAATATGGGTAAAGCACAGAGATATTTCACAAATCAGAAAAAAAACTCCAGTCAGCCCTGGCCGGAGTAGATCAATGGTGCAATAAATGGGGATTCACCCTTACAAGTGAAAAAACTGTCGGAGTTCTATTCAAACGCCGGGGGAAAGATGCTATGATACCCCGTGTCTCCATAAAAGGCAAACCTATCAAATTCGAAAAATCTGCAATATTTCTTGGGGTGATCCTTGATCAACACCTCACTTGGCGCAAACATATTGAATATGTGGAAAACAGATATCAAAAAGACCTGAACGTATTACGGGCAATTTCAGGCACATCTTGGGGCACATCGAGGGACACTCTGCTGGACCTCTACAAATCTCTTATCAGATCAAAAATTGACTATGGTTGTGAGGCTTTTCATTCAGCATCAAATACTGTCTTGAGGCGCCTAGACAGAATACAATACAAAGCCCTAATGCTGGCCACAGGCGCAGCAACAGGCACCTCACTAGAAGCACTACAAGTAGAAACGGGAGAACTCCCATTGAAACTAAGAAGAGAGCAGGCAATATTGTCGTTCTGGGGACGAACATCAAACCCTTTGGTTAAAAAGATATGGCAAGACAAAAACACTCGAGATGAAGCACTAGCTCGAAAAAATCCCTCACTAAAGCCATCTGGGATATTAGTACGTGAACTCATTCGAAGTCACAATTGTGATGACATTCAGCCTCCAGAAAGTCACTACAAAGGGTTACATCCTCCCTGGACTTTATAATCTCCCAAAGTTGACACTGCTTTAACATCAGAAGTCACTAAAAGAGAAAACCCAACCCTACTACGATCAGTAGCTATCACTAAAATTCAAACTACCTGGGACAGCTGGGCCCATATATACACTGATGGATCCAAGAATCCTATCAACAACAGTGCTGGTTACGGGATCCATATCCACAGCTCCAAACCCCAAGCACATTCAGTTCGCTTAACTGATGGTCAGTCACGGCGTGTACCAATTCACGGCTGAATTGGAGGCAATTCATCATGCACTCAAACTGATACCGGAACTTCCGGAAGCAAAGGCAGTCGTCCTATCAGACTCGCTAAGTGCACTTCAGGCCATCAGTGGCAGAAACTCAAACTCCAGGCCAAACACAGTCGTCAATATTCTATACGAATATACAAAACTATCGGACCAAGGGCAACAGGTGGAGCTGTGTTGGATCCCCTCTCACATAGATATTCATGGAAATGAAAAAGCAGACTCACTGGCGAAGCTAGCTCTAGGCAAAGCGGATATACAGCATATTCCCTTTAGTAAACTAGAGATAAAAAGCAAAAGCAAAGCCTCCATAGCAGAAAGATGGCAAGCCCAATGGGACGCAAGTAAGATCGGCATATGGCTATACAAAATTCAACCCAAGGTCCAACAAAAGCCAAACTCATTCTCAAATGAAAGGAAAATTGAAATTGCTATCTCACGCCTCAGACTTGGTCACAAAAAGCACTATGGCAAGGTTTGTTCATCTTGCAATCAGGCTGAAACCATGATTGATCACGTGTTGCTAGAATGTCAAGACCATGCCCCAGCCCGGGCTAGGTTAAAACAAGAATTGCAGTTAGATCCGCTATCTGTCATAGATCTCCTAAATCCAAGAGATGCAATAGCGAAGGCCAAACTAACTCTATTTCTGAGAGATGGACAGCTACTCGAACGTATATAAACAGAGCAGCCAAGGATAAAAATGAAATCATATCAATATAAGAAAATAGAAATCATATCAATACAAAAACAGAAATTATGTGAACACCAAACTCACAATAGATATGTGTACCCTTCTCACACACAGGAGTCCCAAAGAGGGACAGGTCAGCCGAAATTGCCTAGGCAGAAGGCGACCTCTTAAACACTTAATGCAACAACAACAACATCAACACTGGAAAGTTCAACTCAGTGCCCTAAACAGTTCATCCGTACTAGAACTCCAAGAAGTTTCCATAACATGCTATCACCGTCCGCGGTATACCAAGCCGGAAGTTTACACACCTCACTAGCATCACAATATAGTAGCTTCCTGACGACTGATCACTGTCCAAACACAATGCAATGAGCGTCTTCCGAATCCCAAAAAGAAACAATGCAACACAGCTGCAACCACTGTCAAACAATAAAAGACACTGCCATGAAACACCCCCTGAAAGAAACATTATAAAGCTTGGTTAAAATATTATCATCATTAAACGAGCATCCTGCCTCACGAGTAATTTACATTGCTGATAATTCATTCATTTCGAGGAGACAAGTAACACGGGTAGACAAGGCCTCAGCGACGACACCGGTTTCCAAGGGTCTGTGTCCGACCTTGAGAACATAGCAATTACCTGCTGATCGTCATTGCAACATGAGTAGACAGGTGTACCAATAGGGCGCACAAGACAAAAAAGTTTTATATGTCTGAAGAACACAAACAGTAACTCTGTATATTTAAGAACGTTAAGGCAACGAAGATAATTTATGGATGCCAGCTTCTTTATTATGAGAAACACAACGTTTCTGAGTATATACTTGCTCCTTCATCAGGTGAATAAATGCTATGAAGCAGGGAACATATATATGTACCTGTAAAATCAACAAAAGTAATAATATTCCAAAGGTGGAAACTTAACAAGGGAAGCCAACAGATAATTGGCAATGATAGGTGATAAGCAATTGACAAATGGAGGCCAACACTTAACAGTAATTAGCGCTGGTAGGTGATAGTGATGGACAAAAGGAAGTCAGGACGATATCATCCGTGTTTGGGAATGTGCAATGGACAATGGACAAACGGGAGGCCGGGGTTTTTAGCACTGATAGGTCACAGAATTTGACAAATTGAAGCCATCTGGATAATGAGCACAGACAATAATCAAAGCAAGAAGTCCCCAGGAGAGGGTAGATTGGTTCCCTGGTGTTTACACCATTTCTAAAACAGAGACGTGTGACAAATGTCTGGCCATCAAAATGTATTCTTCACACTGTTAATAACGCCGGTCGCGTTGGCGGTCATGTTTCAGGCTTGCGTCCAACAAACAATATGCGCACCACTATTTGATACAAAGCATAAATGCTATTCAAATTCGACAATGCGACAATTGGTCCAAATGCCTCTTTGTCGTAATGTTCCATTATCGTTAAACTGTCTCTTTGGTTTATTTTGACACTTTTTCCGTGTGTTTGTTTAGACGACGCGACTATGGCCCTTCTACTATTCCATACAAACTCTGACGCCAGCCTTCACATGATTGTCGACGGGCTATAAAAAATGAATACCTGACATCATCGGATTGCTTGTTTAATATAATTGGAATCCACTGATATTTCACGGTATAAGAATACTTTTCATTTTTAGTTTACATTTGTTCACATTCATTAATAAGATGTAATCGGTAGGACTATAGTCATCGTTATTACGCCAGCTTGATGCATGTGTGTAACAACACCCCGCATTGTGTTAACTCGGCGGTTTTAGTTTAAGCAATCCATTACGTGTAGCCCAGAGGGACGTCACGGTGTTTCACAGATAGATTGAAAACGATAATTACAGGTAACATAGGTGATTACAACATCGATTGAATACATTTGTCGAAACTCATTAACTCCGCCAGTCTGTAAACAACTGATGTTATATCCTTGCACTCTGTACATTACCTTTGAAGCAAACTTAAAATCCGTCACTCAGAATGTTTATCAAGTTTGACAAATCAAACAAGTGCAGCGCTAGCATACAATAGGCGCGCTACCAGTCGATGAGGCACGGCCCGGGATACTAAACACATTCAGGTACAGAAGGTGGAGAACAGCGCTCGCCGAGTGACGGGATGGAGAAGGGTGTGCTGCAGCTGCTTCTTTCCATAGCGTTATACAGTAAGTATTGTAAAGCATCATATAACATATGCGAGGCAGAGACTAATAAGGCCCATTCACATGGACAAAATTGGCTCATGTAAGCAAATTTACTCATGTACACTACATTTCATAAGTAACTTCCCCTATTTTCGCGAAAATATCGCGAAATTTTCTCGCCACTATTGCGGCACTAACGCGGAATTATCGCGCCACCTTTGAGCCATTAACGTGAAACTATTGCGCCACTTTCGAGACACTTTCGCGCCATTTACGCGATAACATTTTACAAGATCGCGGCACTTTCGCGACACTTTCACGGCACAATCGCGCCACTTTCACGCCACTATCGCGACACTTTCGACACAGAATAGTCACGCTATCTTGTGACAGTTGTGCTAAATGTACGGTACAATATATTGTATTACTTTTTTCCTTGACTGATTTTGAGTTACGTTTTCCATGGCATACTACTCTGCTTTATTTAAGATCATAGTTTAAAGCTTCTTTTCCTTTTACCAATACCGATATCTATACTTTATTTAGACTGCAAATGTAAGGTGATCTTGTGGTCATGACTCCAATCACAAATACTCGTACACACATTAGCTGAGGTGATTTTCACGGCAACAAATAAGATAGAACAGAATCAAACACCATCATGTGTCGGCCAAAATGGCCGTCAGGAAACCTCATAACCAACTAATGTTTTGTGCATGTCTAGTATCTCATATATGTTTCGTGATAAGTTTCATTCTGAATATAATGTGAAATAGTCTGGACAAAATCGTTTGGTTATTAAAGATTTCCTATGGTAAACGAAGTCCTTCACAAATATTACGTCGTTAGGTATTTGTATTACACAGTGACTTGTTCTTGATGTGTGGACGACTATTAACATTGTTAAAGAATACGCTTTTTATTGGAAACAAAATAAACAAAACCATTTCCATAATTTACTTCTTTTCCATTCCATTCCGACTATATCATAAGCATGTGTTAATGAATAATACTCATGAATCAGGTTAGAGCGTATCCACCACAAACACATGCAAATGCAAGTCAGGTATTTGCAAGTGAAAGACATACATGTACAGTTACCACATTGAAATAACACAACTTTATACGAAGCTTCTGAAATAAACAATAATAAATAAGGGAAGAGCTGGTTTCGTGTTTTAGAGGAAGACACTAGAATATACATGTATAAATTTACATAGACTTATCAGGCTGATTATAACTAGATTTGATTGGGAAATTTTAATCAATTCTTTTTTTTCAAGTACATTTCTTAGAATTCATGAGAGAATGTAAATCTTCCATGAACTGCTATTCGAGCGTCTTCAGCATTTATAACATGGTGCCCCGATTTTGATTACAGTGGGGGGCACGGGTGGCCCAGTCGTCTTAGGCGTTGCGATTCGCTGTGCATAGTTGCGTCCCTTGGGGACGCCAGAAACCTATGATTGTGGGCTCGAAACCCGGTTCGCCCCAATTAAGTTTCTAGGTTTGTCAGCACCATACCCGTGCTCGTGGGGTTCACCGGAATGGTAAACGTCTGAGACCTGCATCACTTTGGGCTTTCCTCCCACATTAAGCTGACACGCCGTGATATAACTTGAATACTGTTAAATGGGCAATTACCTAAAGCAATTCCCCAGAGTTGTTGCCTTTGTTATTGTTTTTCCCCGTGAGTACCCGGATGATATAGCAGTGATCTAGACTAGTTCGCGGCCTGTGCTGCGCCATTCGTAAGCGCAGTTGTCACTTTTATTGACAGTATAAGGGCGTATGGTCACATTTATCAACAAAATGAAATACAGTTTTGGAAATAATAAGGAAATGTAGGTATCTTTGTGGGTAGCATCATTAATGGTGACGGTGTTTTGATAAGTCACTTGCTTGGTAATTGTGTGATTTTCGTTTACACTATTTTGACTTGCAACACAAAGAAACTATTTCACCTGAGCATTGCTTATGTTATGGTGTTTATTTTTTTACAGTCAAAATGTGCAAACGTTTCACTTAGGAAATTTATTAAACGCCTAAATATTCAGTTAATCCACAAATTGACTGAAAAATATGCCCATCTGTATTATTATGATGACGAAATCCAAACATTTTTATGTTTAATATCATCACCAAGTGACTGAAAATGTAAGGATATTAAATAATAATAATAATAATAATAATAATAATAATAATAATCAATCAACCATTCTGTATTCAATCTGCCCACCCTTCCTAGCACACACCCATATACGCCCCAAGTCACACCATGTCACACAGTCATGCATATACTTTAATCCAGTCATCCAGTCTGCTTAATCACATTCTCGCACCGGTAATGTACAACATATGAACAAAGAATTATACCTAAGGATATTGTTTACTAAAAACAGATATTATTATATTATGGTAGTTTGGATAAGCACATTTCTAAATTGTTTGGATTCTAATCCCAGCATAATTAATCTATTGTGATGTTTTTAAGCCCTTTTGACACTCTTAGTCATTTTTAGTCAATCTGTTAAATAAATAAACAGATTTTTCAGTCAATCGCCTGAAATATTTAGACATTCTATAAATTGCCTGAGTGAATCATATTTTACACATTGACTGTAACATATACACGCATACAAAGGAAAAGACTTGTGAAAAACAACGTCTATCGCGCATCGAAGAACTTCTTAACCAAGACGTAGAGGAACAAGAATGATTCTGTTCAATGCTACAGCAAATGAATGAAAACAAAATGCAAATATCATAATTACAACCTACCAAAGTTATATGTATATTTTTAGTCAGCTGCCTTGTTCGAGGAATGCAACCGTAAATATTCACATAAAGGAACAATATTCCACACATCTGCAGCTGTACAAAGAAACTTATTGGATGTCACGTGTCTCTGTAACAATCAAATATTTCAAAATATATTTATCGTTTCGGGATATTATAACCCGTGTTTGGTTTCTCAACTGATCACTTAGTTTCTTTCAGTTGTTTCACATTGTGTCAAGTCTCAAAGGTCAGCTGAGAAAGCCCACGTGACAACTGTTTTCATAATGTCCACGGTTCTTTAAAAAATCCATTGAGTTAGATAACAATGAGCAATCAATCAACGTTATATCGGCTTTGAACAAAGTATGTTGTTTTCACATCGGCACTTCACGCCCAGATATTGGGGTATTCCGTCTGCTTTAGTAAACATACACATGTAAACGCTTACTTTTGACAAATCCCCTGTGCAAAATAACAGTGATTATTCAATCAACGTAATTTCTGCTGATCCTTTGATGGCGAGGAATGATGGTGATCACTCCTCTTGCTGGGCTGAAACCTGCATATTATATGACATACATTTCACCTCACTTCAAACCGGGATTCGGTTTAAACCTGGATTTGAATTGAATGAATAACCCAGACACACGAAATGCCTAATGGGAACCTTTATCAGGTAATCTGAGTGGTGCCTCCAGTAATTATACCTGTAATAAATTAACTGAGCATCAATTGAATGACGACAAATACACAAGTGTAGGGTTATACCAGAAAACATGGATGACAACTAGGGAGTAGTTTACCCATGCAATCCGAAATCCGAAAATGCTTTCACTGCAGGGATACTTTTCTTATTATAAACTATAACCACCAGGGGGATTTCCAAATAACGACATCCGATGCGCTTCTGTCCATCTTTTTGTCTGTTTGTTTAGGCTGAAGAAATTTATTAACATGCGCCCTTTGTCCAAATCTTCATAGATCACGGGTAACCAATCAGTGTTGAAAAATGCGTAAAACAAATATTGCCTCCAAGTTTATTTAGCTGTCCTTGCAGACGGTAGCCCAGTCTCTTGTCACGCTCAGTTGCGTTTGCGAGCAAAATCGACTCACGGCAGCTAGTGTGACCAAGCGGCCAATGTCAGACTGCCGAGAAGAAGCTAGAGATTATAGAAACCCAACTCACTCACCGATTTCACTGATTCGTTCTGATAAGTAGTGCCCCTTCTAACTATTCACTTATTATACCTCTTGTCAGTGCAAGAAACATTTCAATGTTCTAAAACAGATAATTAAATAGTTGGTTCACATACGCATCGACCCGTTGGACGCGGACATTTCGCAATTTCATAAATATATTCCTGAAGTGGTCTAACGGGTTCATTTTGTGACACGTGTACGTAGCAAAAGTGTCAGTTTAATGCTTTGCCTTAAATATATGCAATATTTATTATTAAAGCAATACACAGACTTCTTTCTTTAGATACGCATGTATGTGTTTAAAAGAACATCCTTGAAAGGGGCCCGGTGGAAATATTATCTGGGATGGTAGGAGGCAAGACGATTGTGTTGTATTATTTTCCACTTACATGGAATTAACGTTTCACGAACGCCCGATACCATCACTATTTCATAGTGATTTATAAACACATGCTCACGATACAGTCGGAATGCTTTTAGCAGAGATTTTCTTTTGAATATGGAAAGGATTGTGTCGCTTTTATTATGAAACTGTAGCATATTAAATATTTCACTAACATTGTTGGCGGGTGTTAGTGTAGTCAGTATAGAATTTGAATTTCGAAATATATCATTTGAAGTTTGAATCCATTTGTCGACATATCCGATAACACACTCGCGAGTAATCAGAACCTCTCTTACTTTCTTAAACATATGTTCGAGCTCAAATTAATGAATTGAATTGTTTACAAATATCAAACGATGCTTGGAACCCATGTCGCCAATATCTTCTTTATCCAGGGAATATTTACCAGAAACAGTGTCAAAAGAAAACCAAATCACTCTATTGCGAAAAGTGTTTTTGTAAAACGATAGCCAATGAAGCGTGTTGATTGGTAAAACAATAGAGGATTATAGGGGGCGTCTCACAGGCAAGTGAGCGAAGCTCAAGATGGTGAGCAGAGGTTTCAGCTCCACAGGATCCCAAACAACCAACCAGGTCGAAGGCTGGCATTCTAATAAAAGTAAGCGGGGTCCGACCAGACACTCATTCATAGACG